TGTTGTTATTGTTGTTGTTGTTCGTGGGGGTGGGGGGTTGGGGGGGAGGGTTTTTGTTTTGGGGTTTTTTGCGATGGTGTTGGGGATGAAGCTGACGGTGATGATGTCCCTCTTCGTTATTATTGCAACTCAGCTGGTTTTTGCAAGTCTAACTTTAGAACAAGGGTGGTTGGAGGGTGCTCTAGTGTGGTTTTCCCCTCTTTTCTATCAAACATACTGCTGTCCCTACCTCCCTTCCTTCATTGTTGTGTTTGTTACTCTCTTGTAACACGTCTAATTGTCGGCACTTTTATGACCTTTTTGTGCTGAAAGTGCCTTGAAGCTCTTACTAAAATATTACTTTAGAATCAATTATCCTTCTCCGGTTAGACTCTAGCATACTCCACAAACATCACAAGGCAATCTGTTTCCGCGTTGATAGGGTTGCATTGTTTTAACTATGTTGTTTGTGGGCTCTTTGTTTTGATTTGCTTTGTTTGGGAGGGGGGGGGGGTAAGAAGAAGCAGACCCTGGAAAAGATGCATGACGCTAGTCAGAGTAACATTAGTCAAGACAACATAACCATACGAAATGCAATAAAACAAACAAGAGAAAGATGTCAACTTCTCCCGTCGATATCGCGTGGTGAAAGAGTTCGAAAGAGAAAAAAAAGATCTAAGAAGTTTAAAAATTGTAAAACCTTTTTTCTGTTGTATCTTTTCAGACGAGGCCAAAACCAGTCCTAATGACTTCTCTTGTCAACCCGGCTGGCAACGGCTGCACCGAGGATGCTATCAATTCCACGAAGAAGGGCTGACTTGGGAGGCAGCAAAGACAGAGTGTAGCAACGGCGCCGTGAGAGGCCAGCTCGTGTCCATTCAGAGCTTGAAAGAGAAGGTAGGTTAATGAAAGAATTATTGTTGTTCGCTCTTACTTGCGTTTTTCTTGAAGCGATTCAGGTGGCCCTAGTGGATATAATATCCTCGACGAGGTGGAATCAGGCACTCGTCAATTTTGGGGCATATGGAGTTATTGGTATCATCTTAAAGCCTATCCATTTGCCTTGCTTTTGATGAAATGAATATCCACTTATATTGGATACAAATCATGATTTGGCGATTGAAGGAAGTGGGGGGTTGACTGGTTTCAGAGGTATAATTAGCGGGAAAATGGCCACCAAAGTTGAGTTATTTCCTTAGCTTGAGAATTCATAGAAAAGAACATTTGCATCTTTTGTGCATTTAATCAACGTTTCTCAGTAAAAATCCACACAGAAATGTGTTCTTCAATGGATATGAAAGGTGTTGAGCCAAAAAAGGGCCATGTGTTGTTGTTGTTGTTGTTGTTGTTGTTGTTGTTGTTGTTGTTGTTCTTCTTCTTCTTCTTCTTCTTCTTCT